GATAAACTGGAATGATTCAGAATATACTGTTGGGGGTTAGAAGAGATGCTTTGATTTTCTAGTAAATGGGGCAATGCCCATCATAGCAACCATTTTGTAAGAGTCTACAGTACGCTCTCAAAATTGTAAATGAATGAATTGGTGGGGAAAAAATTGCCTACTTTAATTTAATTCTTAAGTCACTTTTCTCCATTTTTGGAGCATTTTACATACATGCTCAGAGGCTTTTGTGTGAGCCCTGATGCTCGCTAAACTCATTCTTATGAGTTTAGTCACCCCAAGGGTCTGTTTCTTGTAATCAGATCAGCATCTAATAAAGCATTGAACTGAGATAAAGAGATAAAGAACATGGAAGCAAGAATGTCATTCTGCAAATGCCTTTTACATTTCTAACATTTTTTTCTGCACTGAGGATGGTATCTAAAACTTTGATCTTTACAGTAGGAGATGACCTGTTGGATTCTCCAACATTGTGAATGCTATCATGCAGAAAACTAGTTTCCTGATGACAGAGGGAGATAAAATGCAAGAGAGATCTTGTAAATATGGGCAGATAATGAATTAGGAACTAAACAGTTACATCCTGTTGGTTCTGAGAGACTCTCAGCTGCATTCCATACTACCAGCCTTAATGTGCTTCTAGAACATTAAGGCTGGTAGTGGAAACTTGGGGGGAAAAAAATTCCCTTGGTTTGCAGTGGATCAAGCCCACTTGACTGAGTTCTCCCTGACATACTCCCAGCAGGCTTGATGCTTAGCCCTTGGCTGATGATCGATAGGGTTTCTTAAGGCTTTATTTGTCCCCTGTTCTTTACCTCAGCAGAATGGAGAATACTGTGCGTGACACTGATGTGCTCATGGGTATTTTTCTTAGCACCCACCAGGGCTTTTTTTCTTGCCAAAAACCAAATACTTTTATTGATCCATTTTCAAACAGGCATACATAAAATAATATGAAATTAACACAAACAATTTACCATACACAAAAGAAAAACTTTAAACAACAAGAACATAAATTAAAAACACGCACACACATACAAAAACTGTAATTACAACTATATCCCAAATTCACCTGATTTTGTAAATCTTCAAAAAGAAAAACTAAGCTTTTAATATTGACTAAGCATGTTCAAAAATTTTTCCCAAAGGGAGAGATAATGTGACATTTCCTGATCAACCAAATATATAATTTTCTCAAAAATTGCTAAATCACATGTCTCTGAAATCCAATCCTTTATGCCTAGAATTACAGTGTTTCTCCACCTCCTAAGGATTATCTTTTTGCTATTGTTAGAGCATGAAAACCCATCTTTGTTCTGAACATGTTAAATTCTAGGTAGTTGGTGTATAATTCAGTACAATATATATATATCGTTAAAACCCAGAATTTTCTCAATTCTACTGTATAACATTACTCCAAAAAGGATGTAAGAAAGAATATGGCCATAACATATGAGTTAAAGTGCCCTCAAATTTCTTGCAACACCAACACAAATAATCATTAGTCTATCCTTTACAAAACATTCTAGATCAGTGTTGTCCAAACTTGGCCACTTTAAGATGAGTGGACTTCAACTTCCAGAATTCCCCCCCCCCCCCTCGTTGCCGGGGGCAGTATGGGGGTGGAGATCCCCCCTCTTTTAATGGGGCAGGTTTGGGGCACAATCCTT